GTAATGATACAATTTAGCAATTATATAATGATGTAGTGATCCTCCATGCTGTGATCTGATATGCATCATCCAATCTGTTGCAAGGGGAGTTTCCTTGGGGGTATGGCCTGCATCCAATATTTATATAGACATTCTGGAAAAGCTCGCTTCCTTCCTTTGGATCCAGCATCTGACCTCTGGTTCTTGGGATTAATTAGCCTCCACAGCCTGTGAGCCAGCAGCCTGCCATCTGACCTGCTGATCTTGGATTTGTCAGCCCCTGTAGCTACATACAGTTGCAGCAGTTTATTGACAGAGAACTTCCAGAAATGCACGCTGGATTCAGAAGAGGACATGGAATGAGGGATATCATTGCTGATGTCAGATGGATCTTGGCTCAAAGCAAAGAATACCAGAAAGATGTTTACTTGTGTTTCATTGACTACGCAAAAGCATTCGATTGTGTGGATCATAACAAATTATGGATAACATTGGGAAGAATGGGCATTAATTGTGCTCATGAGGAACTTATACATAGAACAGGAGGCTGTCATTTGAACAGAATAAGAGGACACTAAAAAAAATCAAAAAACAAAACTCACTGCCATTGAGTTGGGTCCAACTCATAGCAACCCCTCCTTGGGTTTCCAAGGCAGTATTACTATGGAAGTATATTGCCTGACCTTCCTTCCAAAAGGGGACACTGCATGGTTTAAAATCAAGAAGGGAGTACGTCAATCTTATTCAATCTGTATGCTGAAAAATAATCTGAAAAGCTAGACTATATGAAGAAGAATGTGGCATCAGGATTGGAGGAAGACTCGTTAACAACCTACTTTATGCAGACGATACAAGCGGGCTCACTGAAAATGAGGATGACTTGAAACACATACTGATGAAGATTGATGACTACAGTCTGCAGTATGGATTATATCTCAGTATAAAGAAAACAAAAATCCTCACAATGGGACCAATAAGCAGCATCATGATAAATGGAGAAAAGTTGTCAAAGACTTCATATTATTGATTCTACAGTCTACATCAATGGAAGCAGCAGTCAAGATATCAGATGTTATACAGCATTGGGCAAATCTGCTGCAAAAGACCTCTTTCAAGTGCTGAAGAGCAAAGATGTTTCCTTGAAGAGTAAAGTGCACTTGACACAAGCCATGGAGTTTTCAATCCTGCCTAAGGCACTTGACTGCTAACCAGAAAGCTGGTGGTTCAAACCCACCAGCCACTCCTTGGAAGGAAGGTTGGGCAATCTAATTCCATAGTGATACTGCCTCAGAAACCCAAGGAGGGGTTACTATGAGTGGGGTCTGACTCCATGGCGCATAACAACAACAACAACATATGCATGTGAGAGCTGGACAATAAAAAAGGAAGATTGAAGAAGAGTCGATGCTTTTGAGTTGTGGTGTTGGTGAAAAATGGTGTAAGTACCATGGACTGCTAAAAGAACTAACAAATCCGTCCTGGAAGAAGTGTAGCTGGAATGCTCCTTGGAAGTGAGAATGGGCAAACTGCGTCTCACCTACTTTGGTCATGTTGTAAGAAGGGACCATTCCCTGGAAAAGGATATCATGCTTGGAAAAGTGAAGGGACAATGAAAAAGGGGAAGCCCCCCAAAGAGATGGATTGACACAGTGGCTGCTACAATGGGCTCAGGTATAGCAAGGATTGTGGGGCTGGCACAGGACTGGGCAGTGTTTTGTTCTGCTGTACATGAGGTCACTATGAGTTGGAGATGATTCGACGGCACCTAACAACAACAACAATAGTAGCTACACGAATCAGGAGAAACCTCCACCTTGATGCCTGTTCCACAAACTTGGGACTTGGCAGCCTCTACAACTGCATAAGCCATTTCCTTGAGATAAATCTCTCTCTCCCCTAATTTATTTATTTAAATTATCTATCTATCTACCTACCTACCTACCTACCTACCTACCTACCTATCTATGCTTCACTGGCTTTGTTTCTCTAGAGAACCCAGAGTAAGACACATTAGGACAAAATGAAGAATTTGAAGTTGAAATCTCATATGGGAGAAGAGATGGAATACAAGGATATTTGAAAAGATAATGGCAAGTGTGGTGCTTAAGTTTGTGTGTCAACTTGGCTGGGCCTGGTTGAGTGGCTGGGCAGCTGGATGTAGTTATTTCCCATGGTGAGGTTAGTAATTCTTTAGTCCATCCCATTTGTGGTATATTCCTACCTGGCACTAGGTAACCAAAATAGGCAATGAATTATCCAAAACTAAAGACTTGAACCACACATTAACGATTTGAGCAACATATTCAAGACATGTTATGAACTTTGAGGGAATAAATACAATGAAAGCCACGTGTAGGCATATCATAGTAAACTTGATGAAAATAAAATACATACAAACAAATTCCTGAAAGCAATTAGAGTGAAAAAAAATCAAGTTCAAAGATGCAGTAATAGTAGACTTTTCAACAGATAAAATGAAAGCAAAAAGTTATAGAATGCCATTTTTAAAGCGCTGGAAGAAAATAACTGCAAAGCTAGAATTCTAATCCAGTGAATAATGACAATTGACTATATGTGTTAAGTTGTCACAGCAGTGAAGGTCCACCAACAGGAGATTGTTTAGTGAACTGTGACACAGATTGTGGGAGGCAGACTTTAGGATAACTCCTATATTCCCCCATCTCCAGGACTTCATGCTTTGGGTGATTCCTTCCCCTTGAATCTGGATTGGGGGAGGGAGGGGCACCTGTGACTTGCTTCTGGCCACATAGAATAGAATCAAAATGATGGGATCTATGTAAGATCATACTGCTTATCTTGTGGGCCACCTTGTTGGGACATTCCTATGGAGGGGGCACATGGCAAGGAATTGAGGACAGCCTCCAGCCAATGGTGAGCAAGGAAATGAGGCCCTCAGTCTGACAACCTGTAAGGAACTGAATCCTGCCAACATCCACATGAGTATGGCAGCAGATCCTTCCCCAATTGAATCTCAGATGATCAGCCTTCATCAGAGCCCTGCAGAGAACCCAGTCTACCTGTGTTGGGACTCCTGAACCACAGAAACCATGAGACAGTAAATGTGGGTTATTTTAAGCTACTAAGTTTGTGGTAGGAGCTCTGGTAGCATAGTGCTTAAGGCACTTGACTGCTCACCAGAAGGCTGGCGGTTCAAACCCACCAGCCACTCCTTGGAAGGAAGGTTGGGTAATCCTACTTCCATAGTGATACTGCCTCGGAAACCCAAGGAGGGTTCGCTATGAGTCGGGGCCGACTTGACGGCAAACAACAACAACAACAAGTTTGTGGTATGTTGTTGTACAGCAACAGAACCCAAACACACACTCATGCAGAATTCTACAAATGGTAAGAAGAATAAGAACATTATATATTCATGGGAAAAAGCTCCAAGTTACATTAAGTTTAGGAAAAAATAAACATATAGAAGAGTGGACAGAGTGTGATAAAGTTTTTATTTTGAAAATGCATGTGTGGAGGGGAGTAAGAGAGAGAAAGAGAGAGAATGAAAGACAGAGAGAATAAAGAGGTGAGAATAGCTTATCCCTGGAAGGAGAATTGGGTGCTGGAAAATAGGTGTGGTGCAAGACTCACTCTTTGGCTTCCCTAGAGATTCCTTAAATAGAGTTTGAGCTTTTCAGTTCTCTTCAGCTATGATGTTCCATTTTTACACAGGAGACTTATTGATGTGATGGTAAGATGGGGGAGGAGAGGAAGAAGTCTATGATTATATGATTAGGTCTCAATCTTTTAGTGAGTCTGTGCCCCTGTTCTGTGGCCTTCACAAGTGCTTCTCAGCCTTTAGGTGAGACAGGAAGGTTAGAAGGGGCTGGAGTTGAGTATTTCCTTTCCCCTACATTGATTAGGTTTGGGCAAAGTAGTTTTTCTTGAGGGGAGATCATTAAGGAGAACCAAATATTCTCAGCATATTTCAAATAGTTATTTTTTTCCTCCCACTGCTGAAAGTTCAAGGACATTTTTCTTTGAGGTTCATGGTGACAACCTGATGGAACTCTTGGAGATAACACTTAGGAAGGTATGGAGTCCCCTTAAAGCTGAGCCTTCAGGAGTTTGTTTTTTAAAACTCTCAAGCTTTTCCACATTGAGTCTACAGTGATTAGCCCATTACCTGTTAAATGTTTCTACCCAATGTTGGCTAATGACCCACTTGAAGTCTAACAAGGTCACTGAGTGTTGTTCACAAGCCAAGAACCAAAGACCCAAGAAACTATCACTGTGTCTGACCAACACATCCAACATATCCAACAAATCCTTGGCCTAGAATACAAACAGTTCCTTTTCTCTGCCAAGCAGAAAGACCATGTGGATAATGGACACATTGAGCCAGGACTGGAGAGAGGTACTTTATCCATGAGAAAGTGTCCAGAACACAGGGCCAAGAGGTCAAGGCCTAGCCATAGCCTGTTTCTCACACACTGTGGCCCTGGACTTGTCACTTAACATCCCCGGACTATTCTGTAACCCTGCCTTCACAGGGGATACAGAAAGGTCCCACTAGAGGTGTCAGTGGCAAAGCACTTAGGAAAGTTGGCTTTACATACATGCCAGTGATTGACTAAGGACTGCAGCTGCTGTTGACCAAACCATGCTCCCAGCACGTGAAGAAGAACTTAAGATATTCCCACCCTTTTGACATCCACTGCCCTTGTGGGCCCAGGCTGGTAGCATGGTCCCCATTCCTGCTCCTGTGGGACCACAGATTGCTGTAGGACACTGAGGTCTAGACCACCTTTGGAGATTTATGGGCTAGACAACACACACAGCAAACAAACATCCCTGATGAGTCTTGAAACTGGCTGGGATACCAACAAGGAAGAGGAAGGGCATCATGGAGCCTTTCTGGTGGGACAACACAAAACACAGAGGGATATAAAAGTCCCAGCAGCTCAGAGCACCTTACACACACACACACACACACACACACACTCACACTCACTCACTCTCTCACTCACTCTTCCCACCACATACCCCAGTACCCCACCATGGTTGCATCCACCATGTCTATCTGTTCCAGTGATCTGAGCTATGACAGCTGTGTCTGCCTGCCTGGTTCCTGTGAATCTTGCACAGACTCCTCTTGGGAGGTGGATGACTGCCCTGAGAGCTGCTGTGAGCCCCCCTGCTGTGCCCCCACCTGCTGCCAGTCCACTTGCTGCATCCCTACCCACTGTGCTCCAGCCTCCAGCCTGACCCTTATGTGCATCCCCATGAGCTGCGTGTCCAGCCCCTGCTGCCAGTCGACCTGTGAGTCTAGCTCCTGCCAGTTGGTCTGCACCAGCCCCTGTACACCCTCCTGTTGCCAGCAGTCTAACTGCCAGCTTGCATGCTGCATGCCCTCCCCCTGTCAGCAGACCTGCTGCAAGCCCGTGTGCTATGAGTCCATCTGCTGTGAGCCTGTCTGCTGCAAGCCCGTCTGCTGTGAGCCTGTCTGCTGCAAGCCCGTCTGCTGTGAGCCCGTCTGCTCTGTGCCCATCTGCTGTGGGACTACCCAATGTCCAGCTCCAGCATGCTGCCAGCCCCCTGTCTGTACCTCTACCTGCTGCAAGCCCTCCTCCTGCATGTCCCTTATCTGCCAACCTGTGTGCAAGCCTGCCCAGTGCTGTGCCCCCACCTCCTCCTGTACGTCCCTACTCTGCCATCCTGTGTGCCCCCATTCAGGCTGCTTTGGCCTCTCATCAGGCAAGAAGTTCTGCTGCTGACCAGGCAATCCTTCCTAGGCTAACTGGCCTCCAGGTCTCACCATGGCTCTGCTCCTCACACCCACTCAGTCCTCATCCTGCCTTGTTAGGAGGCTGCCGCCACCTAAGGATGGGACTCCTCTGCATCTCTTCTGTCCTCTTGTGATCTTGGCCCTCTGACCTCTCAGGAATCCCACAGTTGGCCTTGACTTCCAACTGGTCAGCATCTCATTGGGCACCTGAATAAACTCACCTTGATTCCCTGATCTGTTTTCCTGTTGTCAGACTCTTGTAGTGGGAACACAGGTTTTTGACCAGACTTTGGTTTACCTAAAAACAAATATAAAATACACTGTGAATAAGTGGCTTACCTCAGAAATCATAGGGCAGAGGCTTGACTTCTCTGAGAGGGACCCAGAGACTCAGGCACTACCCAGGAAGGCTCAGGTTCTACTCAGCCCCCTGCCTAGGGATCTCCAAAGGCCAGTCATCCACAGACTCACCATGGTCCAGGAGGTTCTCCATGGAGCCCCTTCCCACCCACTGTCCTACCAGGAAAACCCACCCCTTCAGAAGTGCCCTGAGGAAACATCTCCATGCTCCACAACCCAGGGCTGCCCCTCTCTATGGGCCATCTGGGAGTCCATCCATTTAACAGAAACATGATAATGTGAGAGAGGAGCTTGGCTTCAAAGTCATAGGTGTTTTAAATGACTTTATCTGTAGCAAAAACATTGCAAGAGAGAGTAGGAAGACCTGTAGAAACTAGCACCCAGCTGATTGTCTATCTCCAGGAAGATCTGGTTTCTGTCTGGAAAGTGTAAGGGACACAGAAGTCAAGACTATAGTGGTCTTCTTGTGATCTTTGACCCTGTATCAGGCCTAGGTCTGCCAAGGAGCCATACACAGCACCTGGGCAGGATACATTAAACCACATGCAATGGCACATGCAGTAAGCCCTCTAGTGAGAACTGCAGAAGCATCCATGTGTATACTACCTAATTATTAGGGGCTGTGGCTATCAATGGACCACTGTCCCACACTTATATCAGACAGTGTCCAGCACTCTCCTCTAGCCCCCACATGCTTTGAGCTAGGCACTGTCTTCTCTGCTTGTGAGCCCCTCACTCAACCCACAGACCTGTGTCTATGATCAAAGGAAGTGCTGTCACCCCCATGTGGGTCTCAGCCTCCTCGATAAGCCCCAGCCACCTCCCACCCAACTCGGTGTCCTTGACTCCTTGGCCTCTAACTTCCCCCTTCACCTCTATCATGTACCACTCACTTTTAAAATTGGCTTTGTGAGGTATCATTTGCATCTAATAAAGTGCAAAGCACAATTTAATTGTAAAGTTTGATGAGTTTTGAAAAAGGTATACAATCTCCACCTGCAACCTCCACCCAAATCAAGACATAACATTTCCATCATGGCAGGTTTCCTTATGTTCCTTCCCCATCAGCAATATGCATTCTTAGCCCCAGGCAACTACTACGCTACTTCATTACTAAAGATTTAGCTTTCCTGGAGTTTATATCCACCGCTCATCTATCAGTTTGTTGTACTGTGGTGGCTTGTGTGTTGCTGTGATGCTGTAAGCTATGCCACTGCTATTTCAAATACCAGTAGGGTCACCCATGGTGGACAGGTTTTAGCAGAGCTTTCCTAACACAGACTAGGAAAAAGGATGTTTCCAGGTCCACTTCTGAAGAAATTAGACTCTGAGAATCTTATGAATAGCCCTGAAACATTGCCTGATACAGTGCCAGAAGATGAGCCCCTCAAGTTGGAAGACACTCAAAAGATGAGTGGGCAAAATATTGAACAATGCAGGAAACATCAAAAGAAGATAGAAGGAATACACAAAGTCACTGTACCAAAATGAACTGGTGGACATTCACCCTTTTCAAGAGGTAGCATATGATTAAGAACTGATGATATTTAAGGAAGAAGTTCAAGCTGCACTGAAGACACTGGCAAACAAAAAAAAAGTTTCAGGAATTGACAGAACACTCATTGAGATGTTTCAACAAATGGATACAGTGCTGGAGGCAGTCACTTATTTATGCCAAGAAATTTGGAAGACAGCTCCTTGGCCAACCAACTAGAAGAAATCCATATTTGTGCCCATTCTAGAGAAATATGATCCAACAGAATGCAGAATTATAAAATAATATAATTAATATCACATGCAAATAAAATTTTGCTGACAATAATTTAAAAAATGCTTACAGCAGTATAAAGACAGGAAACCATCAGAAATTCAAGCTAGATACAGAAGATAATATGGAATGAGGGATAGCATTGTTGATGTCAGATGGATCTTGACTGAAAGCAGAGAATATCAGAAAGATGTTTATCTGTGCTTTATTGACTATGCAAAGGCACATGACTATGTGGATCATAACAAATTATGGATAACATGGTGAAGAATGGAAATTCCAGAGCATTTAATTGTGTTTATGAGGGATTTGTATAGAGACCAAGAGGCAGTTCCTCAAACATAACAAAGGGATACTGCATGGTTTAAAATCAGGAAAAGTGTACATCAAAGTTGTCATATTTCACTGTACTTATTCAAACTGTATGCTGAGCAAATAATCTGAGAAGCTGAATTAGTGAAGAACGTGGCATCAGGATCAGAGGAAGATTCATTAACAACCTGTGATATGTAGATGGCACAACATTGCTTGCTGAACGTGCAGTAGACTTGAAGCACTTACTGATGAAGATCAAAGACTTCAGTCTTCAGTATGGATTACATACTCAACATAAAAAAACAAAAATCCTCACAACTGGGCCAATAAGAAACATCATGATAAATGGGGAAAAAATTTAAGTTGGCAAGGAATTCATTTTACTTGGATCCACAATCAATGTCCATGGAAGCAGCAGTCAAGAAATCAAATGACATATAACATTGGACAAATCTACTGCAAAAGACCCCTTTAAAGTGTTCGGTAGCAAAGATGTCACTTTGAAGACTAAGGTGCACTTACCCAAGCCATGGTATTTTCAATCACCTCATATGCATGTGAAAGCCACATATGAATAAGGAATCCTGAAGAGGAATTTATGCATTTGAACCATAAAGTTGGTGAAGAATATACCATGGAGTGTTAGAAGAATTAATAAATCTGTCTTGGAAGTAGTATAGCCAGAATGTGTCTTAGAAGCAAGGACAGCAAGACTTAGCCTCTCATACTTTGGTCAAGTTTTCAGGAGGAATCAGTCCCTGGGAAAAGAGACCATGCTTAGTAAAGTAGTGGTCAGCAAAGGAGAGGGAGGCTCTCAACTAGATGGTTTGTCACAGTAGCTGTAACAATAGGTTCAAGCATAGCAAATATTAGGAGGATGGTGCAGGAGTGGGCAGTATTTCCTTCTGTTGTACATAGGGCCAGTATGAGTAAGAACTGACTTGATGGCGTCTAACAGCAGCAGGTGGTTGGAACAGGTAAAGCAGGGCAAGGGACAGCCCCCAGGCAGCAGGGAGAAGCATCAGACAGGGCCGGCAAGAACAGGTAAGGGGTAGCCCAGGAAGTGAGCCAAGCAGTTGGAACAGCTAAGGGAGATGAACTTGTCTGTCGGTTTGTTGTACTGTGGTGGCTTGTGTGTTATTGTGAGGCTGGAGGCTGTGTCAGCAGGGATGCCCATGGTGGACCAGTTTTGGTGGAGCTTCCAGAGTGAGACAGACTTGGAAGAAGGAAGAGACACCCACTTCTCAAAGAATTGGCCAGTGAAAACCTTATGAATAGTAATGAAACACCATCTGATATATTACTGGAAAGTTTTATGAATAGCCCTGAAACATTGTCCAATACAGTACCAGAAGATGAGCCCCTCAGGTCAGAAATCACTCAAAATATGCCTGGGAAAGAGCTGCCTTGTCAGAGGAGAATCTACCCTAATGATATGGATAAAACAGAACTTCCAGGGCCTCCATTTGCTGAAGTGACATGACTCAATATGAGAAGAAACAGCTACAAACATCCATTGATAATTGGAACATAGAATGTATGAAGTATGAATCTACGAAAATTTGAAGTTGTCAAAAATGAAATGGAATGCATAAAGATTGGTATCCTAGGGATTAGTGAGTTGAAATGGACTGGTTTTGGCCATTTTAAATCAGATGACCATATGATCTACTATGCCCGGAATGACAAATTGAAGAGGAATGGTGTGGCATTCATCACCACAGAGAATGTTTCAAGATCTATCCTGAAGTACAATGCTGTCAGTGATAGAATAATGCCATACACTTACAAGGAAAGCCCATTAATATTGTTGTTGTTGTTGTTATTTGCCATTGAGTCGGCCCCGACTATTATTAGTATTATTCAAATTTATACACAAAGCATCAAAGCAAAAGATGAGGAAATTGAAGATTTTTACCAACTTCAGCAGACTGAAATTGACCAAACATGCAATCAAGATGTGCTGATCATCACTGGTGACTTGAATGCAAAAGTTGGAAACAAAGAAGAATCACTGGTAGTTGGAAAATTTGGCCTTGGAGATAGAAATAATGCTGGAGATCACATGATAGAATTTTACAAGACCAATGACTTATGCATTGCAAATACCTTTTTCAACAACACAATGGTGGCTATACATGTGGACTTTGCCAGATGGAGTACACAGGAGTCAGACTGACTACATCGGTGGAAAGAGGAAATGGAGAAGCTCAATATCTTCAGCCAAAACAAAGCTGAGAGTTGATTGTGGAACAAACTGTCAACTGCTCATTTGCAAATTTAAGTGGAAGTTGAAGACAATTAAAACAAGTCCATGAGAGCCAAAATATGACCTTGATTATATTCCTCCTGAATTTAGAGACCATTTAAAGAATAGATTTGATGCATTGAATACCAATGACCAAAAACCAGAGAGATTGTGTGTGGGATGACATCATGAACATCATCTATGAAGAAAGCAAAAGGTTATTAAAAAGAAAGGAAAGGAAGAAAAGACCAAAACGGATGTCAGAAGAGACTCTGAAACTTGTCATTGAATGGAGAGT